CGATTTGGTATCTGAGCACTTACACAATAGTAAGAAATGTCGTTCGTTTTGGCAATGTAAGCGACTATGAGCACGTCAAAATGGCAGACGATAGGTTATTGTGTGTTATATTTGCGCAAATAATAACATTATTAAAATTACACAGGCACACAAAAAAACAAAATGAACGCGTGGTCGCCACGCGCGTTAGAAGTGAAACTTCTGAAGGCAAGGCTTTGCCATAACTTTTCTGAAATTAAATAAGTAAATTCGATTTTGCGACTCGAAGACGCGTCACGAAAATTCGATCAGGCGTACGGCACTGGCGAGACGGATATAATGAAAACTGCGTGTAACACTATATTTTCGAGTTGCGGGCGGCTTGGAGTGATTAATTCCGTTGCATTGTTTTTGTATTAATTTCAGAAAAGTTATGGCAAAGCCTTGCCTTCAGAAGTTTCACTTCTAACGCGCGTGGCGACTACGCGTTCATTTTTTTTTATGTGCCTGTGAAATTATTATTCGATGAGAAAGAATATTTAATTTTTAAAATAAACCCTTTTTTAGAATAAAGCGAGCAAGATTTAATTTTATTCTACAAATTTTAAAACCTAAATTACTAAGATCAAAATCAGGACGTAAAACAATATCACCTGAAAAACAATTATTTATCGCTATATGGAAAATGGCCACCCCAGATTCATATTGGTATGTTATTAATATTATTATTACACATTGTTGTTTCAATTTTTAAATCAAATAAAGGGAAGTAAGAGAGGCAATCAGATCCACGCGCGGTAATTAATGCGCAATCAAAATAAGTTAATAATAAAATATATGTTTGGCGTATATATTAGATGTTCGCGTCATCATTATCTGTTTTACATATTAGCCGATAAGTTGCGCGTATAATTAACGTACAAATTCGTAATTCAAGACTCGCGCGAGACGTTGGCGGATCGCGATAGATAGCAACCCTCGCGCGACTCACCCGACTCGTGCTGGCCGCCCACGGGCGGCCCGCAATTATTTGGAACGATGAGTACTCGCTCCGGCCGCAATTCGCAGGTGCGTGAGCCGAGGAGTACTGTGAGAGGATTCGCCGTTCAAACGTGGACTCGACAACACACACGTTTTGTTCTCGCACTGTTCGGAGTTGATCGAGTGAACTCGCACTTTCGGAGCTCGACAAGTCGTCTCAGTAATCTCGGGCCTTGCGTGCTTGCCTCTTGCACATGTGCCTGCTATATCGCCTGCTTGCCCGTATTGCACGTTTTGCCTGCCTGCCTGCTGCGGCACGTGAGTGCCTGCACATCCTAGCCTGCTGCACGCCTTCCGCTCTCCATCACCACAGGGAGGACCGGACGCCACGAGGCTACCACGAGAACATCGGGCAACGACACGGTGAGTCGCTTTTTTGTTTGCTATCTCGCTTTATTCGCCTAATTAAAATTGTGAGGGGATTGCCCCTCTGGTCCTTCGAACCACGAAATCTCATTAACCAATCGCAAATCCGGGGCGATTGACACCCCCCCGAGCAATATATATATTATCGTTAATACAAATTCGGACGTTTCGACACTTTTTTGTGTCATCTTCAGAGCGTAAAAATAAAAATAATACATGAAAATTTTAGACGATAAATTACAGTCAATCGCGATAAAATGAGTCAATCAGTAGAAAAGCGCAGTCAAATCAATAAAAAAAAATGCATACGAATGTTTGGTAGTCTGTCAGGATATGCCAATATGCAAATGCTCCGAATCGATCGCATCTTCGACGTTTACTCTCACGTTGGAAGACCAGGTAGAAAGGAGAGATTCGATTGTCCTTTCTAAACCGTAAATCGGAGTCGCAATATGTTAAAAACGCAATGTATCAGTATTAACATTACAATCACAATATCTTACTTACGGAGCATTACAGACCAATAAGTCGCAGTGTTAAAATGTACCTGTCGCTCTGACATGTCGTGAGTGAGTGAAGCGTTGGTAGAAATTGGAAGGTTAACATAATAAAAGCGGTGTATACATGTGTTAGGACCAGTTTCACAAGTGTCGGTTAACTTTTAATCTTAGATTAACTCACTCTTCGTCTTTTTCTAAGGGGGACGTTAGAAGGAGGCGAAGAGTGAGTTAATCTAAGATTAAAAGTTAACCGACACTTGGGCGGCGGTGTGGTCTAGTGGTAGAGCGCCAGACTCGTAATCTGAGGAACCAGGTTCGAGTCCACTAGAGCCATGAATCATGGAAAAGTTTTTTCCGAAAAAACCGCGCCCCTCCGTGCAGATGCGGAGAAAACTGGGCTCCGTCTTTCGGAAGAGACGTTAAACCGTTGGTCCAAAGTAGGAAAATAGGAAACAGTAAGGTAGTAGGATGAATTAGAGGTTAGGGTTGGGTACGTCCCTTCAAAAACGCCCTTTAAGGCCCCTTGGGGTATATAAAGTAAAATTCTTTATCTTTTTTTTTTTTAAGTTAACCGACACTTGTGAAACAGGGTCTTAATGGTGGGGATAAAAATTCACAACGAATAACTCTAAATTTTTTAAACAGAACAATTTAAGAACATAACAAGGGATCTGAAAGTGAGATTATCGTATAATCATCATCATCATCATCAATGGCGCTACAGCTCAAGTCGAGCCTTGACCTCCACAAGTCGTCTCTTCCAGCTATCTTGGCTCCCCGCTGCTCTCCTCCAGTTCTTAATCCCTAGGAGTGCGTCGGAGTCTCTTCCAACGCTATCCTCCCATCTCAGACGTGGCTTGCCCACGCATCTTCTTCCTACCGGTTTTCCCTCTAGTATTTTCTTGGGGACTCTGGCTGGTGGCATGCGTTGCACGTGTCCCGCCCATTGCAGTCGTTGTATTCTTACATATGCTGAGAGCTTGATTTCCCCATAGAGTTGGTATAGCTCATGGTTATACCGCGCTTTCCGTACTTCTTCCTCTCTTACCGGCCCAAAGATCCTGCGGAGTATTTTCCTCTCGAAGCGGTCCAGCGTGTCTGCGGATTTGTTTGTAATGCTCCACGATTCACATCCATACGTTACCACCGTACGGAGTATTGTTTTGTACATTCTTATTTTTGTTTTCCGGTGGATACTTCTGGACCTGAAGAGCGGCCATAATGTAAAATACATTCTGTTTGCCGCCGTGACCCTTCTCATTATTTCCACTATCTCGTTGTTGTTCTTGTTTAGATTGGAACCCAGGTATACAAACTCATCCACTGTTTCAAATTTGTGTGTGCCGATCGTGACGCTTTGGCCTAGTCTTTTTCTGGGGTTTCTGCTTAGCCTCATTAGCTTGGTTTTGTCCTCGTTGATTTTCAGGCCGACGCTTCTCGCGGCAGATTCCATCGAGTTGAACGCCTCCTCGACGTCCGACATCGATCTCCCCATCACATTCAGGTCATCCGCGTATCCCACGATTTGCCTCGATTTACTCATTATGGTCGCGTTTGTGTCGACTATTGTTCTCCGTATTACGTATTCCAGGACCAGGTTGAAGAGAGTTGGTGCCAGTCCGTCGCCCTGCTTTAGTCCCCGTGCCACTTCGAAGGCATCTGTCAGTTCTTGGTTTATTTTCACTTTGCATCGTGTGTTGAGCATTGTCATCCTGATGAGTCGCACCAATTTCGGGGGGATGCCGAAGTCAAGGAGTATTTTATAGAGCATGTTGCGATCAATACTGTCGTATGCCTGTTTAAAGTCTACGAATAGTTCGAGCAGTTCTACATTGTATTCCCAGCATTTCTTCTGTGCGTGACGCACCGTAAATAGCTGGTCTGTAGTTGATCGGTTGGGCCTGAAGCCCGCTTGATACTCCCCTATGATGTCTTCGGCATACTGTTCTAATCTGGTCTTTATGATTGTTGTTAGTACCTTGTACATTGTGCAAAGAAGTGATATCCCTCTATAGTTTTTACAAAGAAGTTTGTCACCCTTTTTGTGTATGGGGCATATTATACTGAGTTGCCACTCCTCTGGGATTTGCTCGGTGTCCCATATCTTGCCTATTAGTTGGTGGGCTGCTGTGGCTAGACTATCCCTCCCGTATTTCAGTAGTTCCGCTGGGATATTGTCGGCTCCGGGCGCCCTGTTGTTCTTGAGCTTCTTTATCGCTTCTTCTACCTCTGCTAGTGACGGCGACTCTATCTGGGGTTCTTGTCCTCTTAGTCCCTCCTCTGGCGGTTCGTCTCCATTGCTCCCGTGCGGGTTTAACAATTCTTGAAAAAAGTCCTTCCATGTTCTTTTTATCCTCTCGCTGTCTCCCATGATGTTGCCACTCCCGTCTCTGTACAGTGTGGTTCTTGGTACAAATCCCTTTTTGAATGTGTTTATGCTTCTGTATGCCCGCCTGCAGTTCTTGCTTCTGAAATCCTCCTCTATTCCGGCAATGTAGTTGTTTAAGTGTTCCCTCTTCTTTTTCCTTATCAATTTATTGGCTTCCTTTCTAGACTGTTTGTAGGCGTCCCTCTTCGCTCTTGTTGGTCTTTCCATGCATGTTTGCCTGTCCTTATTTTTTTTCCGGATACTCTCCTCGCATTCCCGATCAAACCATTCGTTCCGCCTCTCTCGTGGCCTCTCGCCTAGACTCGTTTCGGCTGACGTTGTTATCGCCCTCTTCAGCCTATCCCAGTCCGTTTTCATTGTTGTGTGAGGCTCCGTTTCGTCTGCGTGCTGATGGATTTTTTCCGCCAGTACTTGCTGGTATTGGTGTTTTGTCTCCGGGTCCTTTAGGCGTCCTGTGTTTATTTTAGTGCTTTCCACTCTTCCCTCCGTTCCTCTTCTGCTTATGCGGCACCTGTAGCACACACGTACTAAGTAGTGGTCCGAGTCACAGTCAGCTTCCCTGCAGGTTCTTACATTGGTAATGCTTGAGGCATTTCTTCTCTCTATCAGTAAGTGATCAATTTGGTTGTGATGATCTCCGTCCGGAGATTCCCATGTCCACTTGTGGATGTTTTTTCTCGGAAGCTGGGTTGATTTCACTACCATGTTCTTGGCGGTCGCGAGGTCTATGACGCGTAGGCCATTGTCGTTTGATTCCTCATGCAGGCTATGCAGTCCCACGATGTCTCGATTGTTAGTTCCTTTCCAATTTTTGCGTTGAGATCGCCTATTACCATTTTGATGTCATTTGACGGTATTGTATCGAAGGCTTGTTCCAGTCCGCTGTAGAAGTTGTCCTTGGTGACTTCGTCCTTTTCCTCCGTTTCCGCGTGTGCGTTGATGATGGACAAATTGAAAAACTTTGTTTTCAGCCTTATCACGCATACTCTTTCGTTTATCGCTGTGAAGTTCAGGATTCTGTCTTTAAATCTCCGGTCTACCAGGAATGCAACTCCGTGTTCATGTCGGTCCTTGTTTCCACTGTGCAGAATCGTATGCGTTCTCGTATCGTATACCCCCTCGCCAGTCCATCGGGTCTCTTGAACAGCCAGCACGTCGATTCTGTACCTCATCGTCTCCTGACAGAGCGCCTCGAGTGCTCCTGTTCTATAGAGGCTACGAGTATTCCATGTTCCTAAAATCATATCCTTGTTTCGTCTGCCATGTCGTCTGTCGTCTCCGCTTAGATCGGTCCGAGTTCTGATCCACTGTCCGAGGTGCTCCTTGAGGCTTCGTAACGGTGAGTTTTTCCGGGGTGGGGTTGTTGGCCCCACGCCCAACCCCCTTTTCGGAGGGCCATTTTTCCCGCTCTCGTTAGTCCTGACCGCAACTTCCACCGGGGTTGGTACCCGATCTCCGTTGCGGTTGCTCAGGCTTCCGGGGTTCACCAGCGAAAAACGCCTGCTTGGAGGTGAGAGTCGGTATTGAGCAGGAGAGGCTATGCGGTGCTAGCTGGAAGCGGCGCCGTGTGGTACGCATGCACTGCCCCCTTTGAACCCCGATTATCGTATAATAGCTTAAACAAAATGCGAACCTTCATAAAAGCTCATAAGAATAGTCTCCCACGTTCTAAACAATGTAACGTAGTATACAAAATTAACTGTAATGATTGCGACGCATCTTATGTAGGCCAAACGAGCAGACAATTACAAACAAGAATTAAGGAACACCAAAACCATATATAAATTGGAATACATTTAATCATTCTGTTATAACAGATCATAGATTAGCATTAAATCATAGATTTGATTGGGATAATGTGGAAATTCTAGATAATAAATCGTATTTTTATAAACGCTTATTAATTTCTGAGATGCTGTGCATAAAAAGACAGGAAAATGGACTGAATTTGCAGACGGACACGGAAGGTTTACCGGATATATGTATTTGAACGTTATTAATAGGTTATCAAAAATTTAGAGTTATTTGTTGTGAATATTTATCCCCACCATTAACTCATGCATACACTGCTTTTATTATGTTAACCTTCCGATTTCTACCCGCTTCACTCACTCACGGCATGCCAGAGCGACAGATACATTATTTTAACACTGCGACTTACTGGTCTGTAATGGTCCGTAAGTAAGAATTCGTGATTGTAATTTTAATACTGATACATTGCGTTTTTTAACATATTGCGACTCCGATTCACGGTTTAGAAAGGACAATCAAATCTCTCCTTTCTATCTGGTCTGGTCTTCCAACCTGAGAGTAAACGTCGAAGGTGCGATCGATTCGGAGCATTTGCATATCCTGACAGACTATCAAACATTCGCATGAATTTTATTTTATTGATTTGACTGCGCTTTTCTACTGATTGACTTATTTTATCGCGATTGACTGTAATTTATTGTCTGAAATTTTCATGTATTATTTTCATTTTTACGCTGAAGATGACACAAAATGTGTCGAAACGTCCGAATTTGTATTAACTAATATATTTTATTATTGACTTATTTTAATTGCGCATTAATTACCGCGCGTGGCTCTGATTGCCTCTCTCACTTCCCTTTATTTGATTTATTCAGGAGAGCCTATATTTTGTTTATTCAATTTTTAATTTATATTTGTGTATGCATATAACTTTTCCTTGCTTAATATTTAAATTATGTACAGATTCATTCGTGAGAAATTCAATGTAGGAAAAGCCACTGCGTTAAATGCTGGAAATTGGAATATTGTTATAATTTTTCCGTCTATAATTCGATTCGACGACATGTTTGTTGATATGCAATTCGCTAACAATGCGTTCGGAAATGAACGTAAGCGCTTACGCTTGATCACGCTCACACTGCCCTACCTTGCAGAAATAAGCGTTTGTCAGCAGAAGTTATGACGTAAACGATGACGTCATTAGTCGATCCGTAAGCGCTTACAACGCCAAACCGAACGACGTGAGTAACGCTCATAAGCGCTTACAGCGCGTGAGCGTCCAAACCGAACGCACCCATATGTATAAATAGTACACATGGAGGGGCTACCGCCCTCCCCCTGCGGCAGTAGGGGTGACCCTCACCGAACGCACCCATATGTATAAATAGTACACATGGAGGGGCTACCGCCCTCCCCCTGCGGCAGTAGGGGTGACCCTCGGTTCGCGTGGAAAGTTGAAAACCCGAATCGTACAATAATAGACCTCGTTTTGCCCTGTAAGCAGGGGTGAGGTAGGGTGGGGTGGATCTCGCTTTGCGTGGAGAATAAATGCTGTCCAGAGAGAACCATCCATACGAAGCGAGGTCCACTCTATCCCACCCCTGTTTACAGAGCAAAACGAGGTCTATCATTGTACGGTTTGGGTTAAATTAAGTTAGATTAAGTTAGTTTTTTGGGGGTGGTGGTGCAGGGGAAGGGGCAAAGTCCCTCCCCCGTTCACGCATTAAATAAATAATATTTACAAGTATAATCATGCAATTATGGTTAAAGCAGAGAATACTTGTATTCATGCTTTCTAACACATAAAATTGTATATGTTACGCGCAAAGTCCGCATGGTGTGCAGTATCGGCATTGCCCGGGCAATGTCAGCATTGCACAACGCGAACTGGGTAAAATAGCTAGTTTATTAGCGGACATTGCCCGGTTTGATGTAGGCAAAGTTAACACTGCCCATCCAGCGATGGCAATGTCAGCAACTATTATCACATTGCGGACTTTGCTCGGTTCCAAGTTGGACCAGCATAGACGAGCAAAGCCTACATCAAACCGGGCAATGTCCGCTAATAAACTAGATACTTTGCCCAGTTCGCGTTGTGCAATGCTGACATTGCCCGGGCAATGCCGACGCTGCACACCATGCTGACTTTGCCCGTAACATATACTTTTCTACTTTAACTATTTTCTACTTTAACAAAAAGACTGTTCAATATTAACGATTCACATGTACTTTACACCTTTTAATACTCAAAATAACTTCTATATTTTTCAAAAATTTTTTGTTAATAACTTTAATAAAAAACGAGTGACAGCTAAAACCTTCTAAATTTAGAAGGTTACTTAGGAGGGTAATCTCTATAATATGTAAACGTTTGGTATAAAACATACTTTACTGTCAGGATAGATACATATATATTTTCAAAACCAAAATGTCAAATATAATTTCTTTGGTGATATTCATTTTCAATCAATACACAGTTTCAATAAATACCCAGTTTCAATAAATACACAGTTTCAATAAATTCACAATTTTACTATTCTCTTTGTCGTCAGAATGTCAAATACAATATTCGTTTCTAATAAGTCGCGTTACTGTTTCTTTCATTGCCTAATTCTTTATCTCCTTCACCATAGCACTTCCAAACTTCGGTAATTATGCAGTTTAGGGGAAGCACCTCCGATGACCTTGACCTTGACATATGTTGTCAAGGTCACCCTCCTGAGTGACCTTCAGAAGGTTTTAGCCGTCGCTCGTTTTTTATTAAAAAGTTATTAACAAAAAAAGTTTGGCGACCTCACCGATTTCAATGACCTTGATATATGTTGTCAAGGTCATGACCCCGGGTGACTTTCAGAAGGTTTTAGCCGTCGCTCGCTATTCGTTAAAAAGTTATTAACAAAAAAAGTTTGGAAAATATAGCATATATAGGTGCATATATAGGTTAGTTGACGCGCTTTAAAAGTATTTAAGTGTTTAAAGCGCGTCAACTAACCTATGTAAGTTAGTGATCAACGATTTACTGCTTTAAATGTTGTGTTTTGGTAAAGCAGCGACTTTTTCG